AGAGCTCATATGTGATCAGGGGAAGGGCAAAGAGAGAGGGAAAGAGAATATCTCAAGATGAAAATGTGGATCGTAACACAGAATTCAATTCCATGAATCATGAGATCATGATCTGAGCTGAAATCAAAAGTTGAAAACCACCCAGGTGCCCCAAAACTTCATTATTTTTGTTGGCTGAGTAATATTCCATTATATTTATATGATATATACACCACATCTTCTTTATCCATTCATCAGTTGTAGGACATTTGAGCTCTATCCATAATTTGGCTATTGTTGATAACGCTGCTATAAACATAGGGCGAATGTGCCCCTTCAAATAATTATTTGTTTATCCTTTGGGTAAATACTGGTAGTACAATTGCTAGGCCAGATAATTCTATTTTTAACTTTTTGAGGAACCTCCGTACTGTTTTCCACCGTGGCTACAGAGAAAGGGGAGTTGTCTTACATGGTTGGTCGGAATGGTATTCTTTCTAGCTGGAAATATGCCTTTGTTTTTAGTTTGTAGGTTTTTGCTTATTTTTTGCTTTTGTTTTTTAGAGAGGTTAATTGTTTATTGTCTGTTATCCAAGATATTGGTGAAAATCAGGAATTAAGTTAATTTTGTGCATGCCCCCAATCCCAATCCTTAAAAACAACAAAAAAGTAATTTCTAAAAGACTGAGAGGTTATCAGGCTGATGCATTGATGCCCAGGAGTGAGTCCTATGCCTCCAGATTACTTTTATTTTGCACACAGTTCTCAAGTGTTTTCTTTTGAGGTCTAGGATCCTAAACCTGACTGTGCATCAGCCCCTCCCTCTATATCCATCTTGATACTGAATAATGTTGACTTGGGGAGTGGGATGATGGCAAAATGAAGCTGTCTCTTCTTTTAGTGCAGTTAAATGGATTGTTGGGTTTTTTTTTTGTTTTGTTTTGTTTTTGTTTTTTTTGCTTGTTTGGTTCACTGTACTCCTGACATTTCTTAAGTGGATTCCAGAGCTCTCCCAGAGCTGTTTTTGTTTGTGAATAGCTGTCTAACTGTTGGCTAATCTTTGTGGGGTGACAAAGGCTGGGGTCTTCTAGGCTACCTTCTTGCTGATATCACTTTATATTGTCTTCCTTGATAAAGCTTTCAGTCCTCATAAAAGTTCAAGTGGTTGTCAGCACAGTTCATTTCCTTGGATCTGTGGAACTCATGATAGCTGATTTTTTTCAAGGTCAAACAGAATTTCTCTGCTCCCGGGGAAGGAATAAACAGTACTTTAAAAGCTTTACCTGATTAGGTCAGAATCACCACCAAATCCTTTTGATTAAATCAAAGTCAGGCTAATTAGAGATAATTGGATCAGGAAAATCTATTCACCTTCCCCATAAAATGTAACATATCAAAGGAGCAAGATGCATCATATCCACAGGTCTTCTACATGCACACACACACACACACACACACACACACACACACACACTCACACGGAGGATTTGATACAGGGCAGTTTATACCAAGAGGTGGAAATCTTGGGTGCGATCTTAAAATCTGCTTGCCTATGTATATAAATCATTAACAAAATGGGCATACACATAAAAAGAATTTATTTCCCAAGACATATATTTTTAAATTTGTGCATATTCTACACTGAATAAATACTCAGAGAAAAAATAAATAAGTATAATTATGAATATACATAAATAACCATATGAAATTCAAATTTTTCATTTAAAATAGTACCATCAACTAAACCCACATATTTTAAACTTTCTAAGAAATGTATTGGTTTGTAATCAGAGCTAACATATTCATTTGCTTTACTTTGAACACTCTATATGCATAGATTTGTTATTTTTTCTATGTAACCAATCATCTAAAACCTCATAATTCTTTTTTTAACTAGATATGCTTAATTTGTAAGTTATTTCATTATATGTGTATGTCTGGTTTTATTATTGGATGTAATCTAAAAAAAATAAAATAAAAATAGGAATAGCATTTTCTAGGATATAGAAGGCTGAACCAAGGCCAAAATTCTATTGCTATTCTGAAAGAAAATACAATTTTTCACTTTCAAGCTGCTCTGAGTTTTAATTGTTACATTCTGAAGTGATAATTAGTTGATGTTGCTAAAAGAGAAGCAATGGAATCTCTGCTAGACTTCATATCTGGTTTTGAGATACAGTTATAATCCTTAATTGTAAGGTTTTACTGAATACATGTTGAGAAACATTATAAGTATAAATTTATTTAAAAACATCAAAGTTCAGGGGGGCGCCTGGGTGGCTCAGTCAGTTCAGCATCCAACTCTTGATTTCGGCTCAGGTCATCATCTCATGGTTAGTGAGTTGGAGCCCCATATTGGGCTTTGTGCTAACAGTACAAGGTCTGCTTAGGTTCTCTTTCCTTCTCTCTCCACCCCTCCTTCGCTTGCACTCTCTTTCTCTCAAAATAAATAAATAAATTTTAAAATGTCAAAGTTCATATATCATGGAAAATAGACTTTATTTTTGTATAGTGCATTACTTAATTTTAGGTGACAGCCTTTAGTTTCAGAGAAATTCAAAGGATAAGTTTGTCTCTGGGACAAATGTCTTTTCTGGGCTAAAGATACTCTTACCTACTTGGAGATATCTCCAAGAACATTCATATTTTAGTGTGTATTCAGAATTTCTTCATTTTACAATTGAAAGCTTACTCTATTCTAGGCATTGTTATGTGTTGTGTATACGTGGTGAATAAAAAACATAGTGTTGCAGGATTCTCCCTCAGAGAGTCGTGACACCGAGACTTTTCTTTCCAGGAAGCAACGTTATTTTGCCAGCACCGCTCAGTTGGGTTCGTACCCAAAAGAACTGAGCGGCCCACATCATATGGCATAGGTTTTTTAATGCATTTTCTATTTCTTTGTCTCCCATATATGGTAATACACATAAACATGCAGTCTGATTAAGTTGTTTCAGTTTACAGGAACACCGGGGGATGTAGGCAGCTAGACTCATATCTAGGTGACCTTGAAGTCTTCTCTCCTCTCTTCTTCATTTTTTTCTTTCTCCTTAGAGAGGGATTCCTACCACAATAGAGTTATCCATTTTGAACTTCAAGGACCAAGAGATAAAGAGACCAAAGGAAAACAGGCCTGTGAGCCCCAGATTCTACTTTTTTTAAAAGTGATCTCTTGGGGCGCCTGGGTGGCTTAGTCGGTTAAGCGTCTGACTTTCGCTCAGGTCATGATCTCGCGGTTCGTGGGTTTGAACCCCGCATCGGGCTCTGTGCTGACAGCCAGCTCGGAGCCTGGAGCCTGTTTCAGAGTCTGTGACTCCCTCTCTCTCTGACCCTCCCCTGCTAATGCTGTCTCTCTCTCTCTCTCCTAGAAATAAATAAAACATTAAAAAAATTAAAAAAAAATAATAAAAATAAAAAAAAAATAAAAGTGATCTCTATACCCACATAGAGCTCGAATTCATAACCCCAAGATCAAGAGTGGTATGCTCTAAGGACTGAGCCAGCCAGGCACCTCCCTTGACTTATACTTTCATGAAGACAACTAAAAATACCTTTAACCACAATCCTAGCCTTTAAATGAGAGGAAAACTTGGTGTATAAATAAATAAATAACAAAAACAAGAACATGGACCGTGGAGCTGAGTACCTCAGAGATGCACTGCTGGAAAGTGCTTAAGTAAGGGAGTCTGACAACATGGGTCCAGCTATGAACCAGTGCCTCTTATTTCTTGACATTTCAAATGGAAATATCTTATTTATTAATTCCATTCTTCTTTCACCAATGGATGCTTGCTGGGAGCTGCACTGGCCTTGCTGGATGATAGTCACAGCGAGGAAATGGTAGCGTTTGCACAGCTCCTGCCATGAGAAATGAAAACCAGTATCTCTTTCTGCTACTACTGGCTCAAGTTGGAAATGAGCCTGCTGGTATTGACCAGGCCTCACAATATTCCAGATCAGACCAATATTCCCCACACAGATTGCTCATAAGGAAAAACATATTCCTGCCTCTTCAAAAGAGACTTCAGATGAAAGCACTGTGGATGATTGTTAAAAGGCTCTTCTTATGGGCCTTGCAGATCCAAGACTTACATAATAAAGGGGGCTAAGAACATGAGTTACAATTGAGTCTGGCCCTGAGACAAAGAGCCTAATTTAGAGTTAAGGACAGATATCCACCCCCACCCAATTGTTTCTGCTTGGAGCACTGCTCCCCCCCCCCCCCGGGGCATTTGTTATCAGTATTTGGAGTGACTTATTCTGGCCTTGAAAATGCTGATTGCTCCCTGTGAAGGAACTTATTGAGGAACTTCTTTTGTGATTATGGGAGCAGAGGTGTTTCCTGAAAGACATGTTTGACCCCTGCTCACAAGGAAGTAACATTACCCTTTTTAAGCCAAAAACTTTGTCTTGTATGCTAAAGATACATTCCTTCCCCATAGGATAAGCATCTAAGTCACCTATCTCAATCACTATTGATAAAGGCTATGCAGAAGTCTTCTACAAATCTATGTTCTGGGAGATTCTTACATATCAAAGAAGTTTGTCATCAGACATCTTTGTCTAAGGCAAATGCCACTTCTGTGCCATCCCCCAAACACTTAATTATAAAATAAAGTTGAGCCCCAGTCAGAGCAAACATGCCTGCCTGGTTATCAGAAAAAATCTCAGGGCTCTCAATCTCTCTCTTGGACACCGTCCACCCTTCAGAGACCCCTGGACCCCTGCCAGAGCCGGTCTCCAAAAGATGCTTGGCATTTTGGGCCAATAGCTTCTCTTTTTAGTTCAGAGATATTTGCCTGAAGACAAGCCATATCTGAGGAGCTTCATTTGAGTTCAGTCTTGATGCAGGTAGTGAAATCCTGGACTCAGTCTTCTTGTGATGATATGAGATGATAAAATACTTATGCTGTAACATGAAGTGAGGTGAATGGAGTGCATTGTGACACAATGTTAGGCTACAAGTGACTTTCCAAGGATAGGCCAGAAGGAAGGTCATCTGTTTTCAGACCACAGTTGAAACCAGACCCTGGGTAATTGAAACCATAGAAAATAAAACCACAGAGCAGGGGAACTACTGTAACTAAGAATGGAATGGGTTGATATATTGGTAGTTCGTAAAGCTATAGTGTAGAGTCATGGAATAATGTTAAACAAAATGAAAGTGAAAGACAGATAGGACTAGATGAGGACCTGTCTACCAGCTTTGTGCCAGGTAGATGGCTTTCTATGGCAACTTGAGACAAGAGGAAGGTTTAGGACAGAGGTCTCATGTAGCAAGTTTATATTTTTAAAGACCACTCTGGATTCTGTATGTAAAATGGATTGGCAGAAAAAGTAAGTAGAAATTATTGGAGAAGTTCAAGAAAGGGATGGGTTAAACTGGAATGATAAGGGAATAGGAGTGAAAATTAGTGATTTAGAATGAATTTAGGTGGTGAAAACAGGTATGTTTATAGCTTAAATATCAGAATGAGAAAAAAGGAAGATACAAAAAATAATATCTAATTTCTAGGCCATAAGCAACTGTGGATGGTGTGTCACTGATGAAAGCAGAAGACTGAGGGGAAAAAATAAACACACACTTGAGTAAGAAAAATCAATGGTATTCTTTGTGGTATATTATGTTTGACATGCATAATAAATATGCAAGATATATTTGAATGAGTATGAAGAAATGAACATATTAGAAAAAAATTAACTTTTTAAATGATAGTCTTGGGAAAGAAGAAGAGATGTCCCAAAACTGAGTCTTTAGGCATTTTGCCACTGAATAGATGAGTAGAAGAGGAGCCAGAAAAGAGTCTAGAAAGAGAGGTCATTGAATAAGGAGAAAAAAGAGAGAGAAGTGAGTAACAGAAAATCAGTGAAGAAATTGTTTCAAGATGAAAGGATGAGCTAATTCCCAGATGTGGAAGCCTTCAAAAGCTTAAGAAAGTTGTTACAGGGATGGACAAAGTCATTTCTCTTTCTTCTCTTCATCCTCTCTCTTTAAATTAGAATTTCAGAACCTACCTCAGAAAGTCTAATTCAAAATGTCTGAAGGGGCCTCATGACCACATATGATTTTCATTCAAATAACCTCAACCCCATTTTTAGAAACTCTGTCATAGAATCATTAGGGAATAAATTGTCCCTTATAAGTAGCTAAAATTTTGTTTCTATGTGTGTGAATAAAAAGAAGTCATTTAAGGAAACAGCATGGCATTTGTAAAATTCTTCCTGGTGTTCTCACTCCTAAAGGCAGCAGAAAAGTTATCAAAACATGGAAAGAGTAAAATAGTCAATGGAAATACAAGGCTGGCTAAAATGCGTGGTCCACTCCAATGCTGACAATCTGCTGAGAGAAATTTAGAAACAACAAAACCAATTAAAACTGTCTGCCTTTTTATTATCAACATGGGTGGACAGTTCTAAACTATGTCAATGACAAAATGTTCCTCTAAGCAGTTGCTGCAGTTATTGTTAAGTTCTAAATATATATTTATATTTACATTTCTGTATATATATAAGTTTCAACTGTGCACATTTTAATATTTATCCTTTTATTTACATTTTACATGCAAATCAAATTTTGTTTTGCAGCTTGCCCTTAATACACATGGGCTCCACTATATGCATTTCTTTTAAAACTAAATTCATTAGCATTTGGGATTGTTTGAGTTCACTTTAGGAGGAAAACATGTCTCCAACTCTTTTGGTGCTATATATTTCAGTGCTATATATAAATATATATATAATATATATATAATACATATATTAAACTGTTAATTCAAAATAAATAATGATAGCACAGTGATTTCAAAGGCAAAGGAAAATAACCATTTAAATCCATTCTGTCATTCAATGTGACAGCTTGGAATTTTTATTTGTTTAATTTCTTCCTTTTTTTTCTTTTAGTCATTCATTTTAGCTCAATAGTGTGTTTGTGTGTGTATGTATGTATAATATAAATATATATATTATATATACACATGCACAAATGTGTTATATATATAAGTGTATGAACAATATACATACACATTTTTTCTGCAGTTATTTGAAAGCTTCTATAATTTATCCTGAATAAAGATTTAGAATTGCCATTTCTAAAATTTATTGTGAAATAGAAGTTTTATGAAGTTTGGCCCAACTTATAATTAAGACTTTCCCAAGCTATATGCATATCTTTTTCTTCATGTGAGAGAAGTTTTTGAAATAAAAATTAATAGAAAACATTCTTTGATCAATCATGTTGACAAATCTGACTACACCATCTATTGAACATAATTATGTAAAGAAGATCAATTCTGATGAATCCATTGACAAATTTCCAGAAGTTATAGCTTAAAAAAATAGAAACTGTCAAGGTACCTGGGCGGGGGGGGGGGGGGGGGAAGTCAGTTAAGCATCAGACTCTTGCCTTCAGTTCAGGTCATGATCTCACAGTTGGTGGGATGGTGCCCTGCCTCAGGTAGTGTGGAGCCTGCTTGGAATTCTTTTTCCCTCTCCCACTGGCATGCATCTGCTCTCACTCACTCTCTCTAAAAATAAATAAATAAACTTAAATAAACGGCAGTCAGTATTCATTGCCATGACAGATCAATATGTAAGTGTATATTTATTTTTCCCTGTTTTAAAAATACACTAATATAATTGAGAATTGTTTATAATTTTTTATTGTGGTTTTTTTTACTGTAACAATTATACATAAAAAGTTGAATAACAATAAATTTTCCCTGTCAGTGTTTCTTTTGTATTATTATTCATTTTATGTCAGGGTTATAGCTAAAAATAATTTTTTCATATAGAGAAGTGTGGCCTTAAAAAAAAAAAGATCTGCTCCAGGTGTCAAATATGCTAAGTACGCCCCTTATGGTAATTCTTATGTGGCCAAAGAGGAGATTCAGGTTTCCAATCAAAGACAAAAGTAATTCATGTGCCCGAAAGTAAAATCTCATTACCAAGGATTATCAGAATGAAAAGGAAATAATGTTGATTGTATTTATATTTCTTAAAGTCCACTTGGAAGGAAAGAAAATTAATTCTAAGTCATCAAAGTCCCTTTCAAACTAACTAAAATTGTGCAGACAAGGGCATGCTCTCCATTAGATTAGATATTTAAAGTGTTATAAGAAAAAAATTAAGTAAATCAAAGAATATAAACAGATATGATTGGAGGTAAGTAGCAATAATATCTTTCTTTTCCCAAATTTCTATGTCATCTTCATCACACAACTTTATTTAATCATTTCAACCGTCCTATGCAGAAATAGGTCACACAAATATTTGGGGCAGAAACCATACTTAGTGGATTGAAGAGTGAATGGACTTTGATGAAGTAAAAACAAAGAAAGAAGGTAACTTGATTAAACTCTGATGACTCCAATATGTGATTAATCCTAATTAAAAAGCTGAGTGGCACTGGGAGTTTGAACTATAGATTTGCATGAGATGTGGTGTGCAAACCACCCTTCAGGACTCAGAGACCTATTACCCACCGGCTGGGAGTACTGCTGGCAGATAGCATCAGTTGTTAACCTTCTTTGCAATTATCTTGGCTGACAAGAGCCATGACACCTAAAGTCATCTCCTTCCCAAGAAAGCTTGCCTCTGATGAATGGTCAACACTGGGTATAGAGACCTCATCACAATCCAGGACAAAACTAAAGGACCATCCTAGAGTCAAAGCTTCCTATAAGGTCAGTTAAGGTCTTCGTTGTGATGTCTCATAGTCTAACTTCTCCCTCTTTTAATTGTGCTTCTTTTCTTTCCTCTACCTAGGTTGTGATTCCTCCTTGCTAATCTCTATCTCCAAGTTTCCTTGCAGAAGATTCCAATCTATGCCAGGTGGTTCTGGGAATGATTCAAGAGAGTACAGACTTAGCATTTTGAAGCTGAATCATCTGTCAACCAAATAATGAAAATTCCATTACTGATTGTAAGTGGAATACAAATGGTCTTTAACACAAGTCACCAGTTCAGTTGTTCAATCTTTTATTGGTGGTGAATTGAGATGGGCTATCAGAGAAAAGACAGAACTATCTGGCATGATGTTTCAGGAGTTTGGGAAATATGGGGAAGATAGTGGAATTGAGTTGCCATTCCTAAAGTCAAATGATGCTTTGGAATGGGATAACTGAAGGCTGAGAGTCATGAATTGGAAATTAAATGTTAAGTAGGAAATTCAGAAGGTCTCCTTGGTAGTGTAGAATGAGGCCTTCATTTAGTCCTGTGGTTGGGTTCAAGATTTAGACAAGGTTCAGGACTTAAGCATAAAAATATTGGAGCCCCAGAGAATTTGATAAATCTATTACTCTAACACCAAGTCTCAGGTGGAGAAACAATGTGACCCTGTCAAATTAGATAGAGTCATCTTGGTTGATACACCCCAGAAGTTTTAATCCTCTGGTCCCCTTAAATACTTTGAGTATATAGAAGTGGCCCATTCTTTCCTCTTTAGGACTTGGGCCTTCCCCAACTTGTTGGAGATGATACAGAGGCCTCTCCCCTGCAAGACAACATGAAGTCCTCTAATGACCCATTTTGGGTCATGAAGATAATAGTTAAGTCACAATATAATGTGACTGGAGGTCGTGAGTTTGACAAGCAAAGAAGACAACTATAGTCCAAAGGACCTGCAGGATATAACTAGCCTATACTGGCCCAACCTGTGAGAATACACACAGGGACACATTTTGAGGATCAAGAGTAATGGAACATAGACTGGATAAGAGAAAGTCTATCAAATTAAGATATATATGATACAGCACTCTGGTAAGGACCTGGAAAATTGTGCAAACATACTGCTAAGATGTTCACTAACAGCATGCAAAAACCTATGGTTTATACAAGCTGAGATAGTGGTGCTAAAAGCACCCAAGCAGATAGTGGGGAAAAGGAAGAAAAGGATCTATGAGCTGGGTTGCCAGAGTGGATATATTATATAAAGCTGGAAAACCTATTAGAGAGGGCCTGCATGATACAACACTTACCAGAGCATTTAGTAATATGCTGGTAAAGGGGTACCATCATCATTATTAAATTCAGTGTCTCTTCTCATTTGGTCAGGGCTGACAGTAGGGTCTGTCATTACAGAACTGGATTGTATGCAACTAGGTGATATTGGTTAATCATTAAGTAATAGGATGCAATTACTGTACATGAGTGGAAAAGACACAGTACAGTCAGGGTCGGGGGTACTCACCCACATAATTATAAGGTGGATAATGAAACATAGTATGCCTAGGTTCAAAATAGATGGGAAACCAACAAAAGTACTATAATATCTGTACATTAAAAAAAATTATGGCTGATCAGGAACCTAAGAGCCATCATACCAACTTACTTATTTATATATTTATCCTTTATTTATTTTTTAATTTTTAAAAAATGTTTTACTTTCATAGTTTATTGTCAAGTTAGTTTCCATATAGCACCCAGTGCTCATCCCAACAAGTGCCCTCCTCCATGCCCATCACGCCCCTTCTCCTCTCCCCCACCCCCATCAGCCCTCAGTTTGTTCTCAGTATTCAAGAATCTCTCATGGTTTGCCTCTCTCCATCTCCCCAATTATTTTTTCCCCTTCTCCTCCCCCATGGTTCTCTGTTAAGTTTCTCCTGATCTACTTATAAGTGAAAACATATGGTAGCTGTCCTTTTCTGCCTGACTTATTTTGCTCATCATAACACCCTCAAGTTCCATCCACATTGCTACAAATGGCCAGATTTCATTTTTTCCTCATTGCCATGTAGTATTCCATTGTATAGATAAACCACATCTTGATCCATTGATCAGTTGATGGACATTTAGGTTCTTTCCATGTTTTGGCTGTTATTGAGAGTGCTGCTATGAACATTGGGGTACATGTGCCCCTATGCACCAGCACTCTTGTATCCCTTGGGTAAATTCCTAGCAGTGCTATTGCTGGGTCATAAGGGAGTTCTACTGTTAATTTTTTTTGAGGAACCTCCACACTGTTTTCCAGAGGAGCTGCACCAGTTTACATTCCCACAAACAGTGTAGGAGGGTGCCCATTTTTTCACATCCTCACCAGCATCTATAATCTCCTGATTTGTTCATTTTAGCCACTCTGACCAGTGTGACCATCATACCAATTTAAAGACCTATGATCCCTTGCCCAGTTTCTGGACCTATGCCAATGGACTTAAAACCCATTGAGTTTTAACCGAGTGAAAAAGAATTGAGTGAAAAATAATCTAATTCCTCTAAAAGAAGGTACAACATCATAAGAAGTATATATGACAATGTAATCCTAGTCCTTAGTCAAATAGATCATGGATGTTTATTAGGGTAACCATATACTAGGGAAAGGGAATACCCAAATATTCCAGTGATTTTTGGAAACATGATTTGAACTGCAATCAATATCTGTGGATTATAAGAATCATACTGGAAGTTAAGGGATCAGACTTCCATACTCTTAGAATGGAAGTTAAGGGATCAGATGATAAATAGAGTCCTGGTCCAGGTCTAATTCCTGGTGGGTCCATGGCCTCATTTTTTGTTCATTTTCCAAATAAAAAATTGGAATAAATCTATTTGGGAGTTTGCACACCTTTCATGTTGGCTTCTTGGCCTATTAAGGAAAGTAGGTTGTAGTAAAAGAGACCATCTGGAAGCTTCTGGCAAGCGTCCATTCAGGCCAAGATAGTAAACCACAATATTGCATTCCAAGGGGAATGGAAGAATTCAGTGCCATCCTTGAAAACTTAAAGGATACAGGACCAGTGGGCCCCATTATTTGATTCATCAATCTGTTACCTGTAAAAACAAGATGGATTTGGGAGGATAGCAGTGATCTACAGTAACATCATTCAATTGTACCTGTTTTTACACATATTGTGTCTTAGAGCAGATTAACACAGTCCTTGCTACATGTGATGAGGTCAGTGTGTGTGTGTGTGTGTGTGTGTGTGTGTGTCTGTGTGTTTGTATATTCCAACCAGTGGGAAAAAGTATTAGAGACTATTTATACTCACTAGAATGTCCTAAGGTTATGTATCTCTCCCATTGTCTATAGTAAAAGAGTCAAAAGAGACTTGGAAAGCCTAGACATCTTATAGAATATTACACTGATGGATTCTATCAATGACATCATACTATTTGGACCAGATAAGAAATGGCCAGTACATTATAGCACTGTGTAAGACACATGTGCTCCAGAGGATGGGTGATAATCTGCATGAATATTCAAGGGTCTGGCATATTTAAAATATTCATAGGGGTTTAGTCATCTGGGACATGTTACGATATCCTTGACAAAGTACACCATTTATAAAAAAAAAAAAATTCATCATAGAATATATATCTTCAGACTCTGAAAGTGCCATATTCTGTACCTAGAAATACTGTCTAAATCATAAACTGGATAACACAAAAGGTGTCTGACTTTGAGGACCCCAGAGCAGGAAAGTTCTCAGCAGTAGTTCTGGGCTATGATATAAGCAAGTCTTGTGGTATTACAAGTATCAACAATGGGGAAAACACCATGTGGAGTTTAAGGCCAGTCCCAATGGGTGAATCACAAGTGCAAACCCTAGGGTTCTTGGGGAAGGCCATGCTACTCTCAGTGGAGAATTTTATTTCTTAGGAAAAACAATACTTTATTTACTATTGGGGTCTTAAAGAGGTGGAGAGACTGTTCATGAGGCAACACACAGCCATGAGATTTGAGGCTAGAATTGACTGTCTAATGCTGATTTATTTTCATTCCAACAAGTTGTAAAATCAACAAGTTCCATAGTCATCTGTCTTAACATGGAAGTGGTACATCCAGGATGGAACATAGAAAAGGCTGGAAGGGAGAAGAAAGTTGCATGAGAAGATAGTCCAGATTCCCCTATTATTTAACATTTTTGCACCAGCACGTCTCCCCCAATTAGCACTTATGGCTAATAAACAGATAAAGAAAAGCCCTAATCTTCATTCATAAATGAGTCATTACTTTATATAAGTAGAGATCATAAACTAATGGTGGCTGCATCATAGTCAAGTCAAGTGTGGCTTTCAAAGGCAGTGGTAAAATAGAAGTATCTTGGAGTGAGAACTTCTGAACAGTCATTTTGCCTTTGATTTTGTGAGGAAAGAAAAGTGGACAACATTAGAATATAAATGGACTCATGAGCAGTGAAAAAAAGAGCTTGGCTAGATGGTCATGGGGACTGCATGAAAATGATTAGAAAATACATATGGAAGTGGGAATGATATATGAAAACCTTTCTATAGCAGCAGTACCAAAGAGCATCTCATGTAGAATATAGATTAAACATTCAGGTAGTCAAAATTACTCAGACATTTGACTTCACCCAGCTTTTGTCACTGAGCATTCTAACTGTCACAAAAAGTGAACTGTGTGTGTTCAAGAAGCCAGAGGTGGCAGCAGGAGCACCCTGCTAATCTGAGCCTTAAAGGAGTAGCCATGATAGCATGGATGGAGCCAAGCAGCATAGATTCCATTTGTCAAGGCTAATATATATATATATTACCTAAAAAATATATATATTAATATATATTAATAATATATATAATGATATATATTAATATATATTAAAATATATATATATATATTGCTATTGCACGTGTCCAACCTGTCAGAAATAAAGGCCAATGCCACATCTCTAATATAGCAGCATCCCTTGAGGAGGCCAACACCAATGGCAAGTTGACCTCACTGGATTTCTTGCTTCCCAGCAATAGCAGCAAAAATATTTTAATACGGATAGAAACATAGGTTTCTATCCATCCAAACAAGGTATGGATTTGCCTTTTCTGGTCACAAAAAAAACTCAACCAAAGCATTTATCCAAGGACTTATTGAGTTTTTGATCCATGTGCACAGGAGCCCACATAACATCATGTTATGTGTGGAATTAGCAGAGCAAAGAATGAGTGGGAGTGTGTACAAGATCATGAGATGTGCCGAGAAGATTTCTATACTGCATGACTCAGAAGCT